TAAATTATGACGTCTTAAAAATTTTTTCTAAGCCAATTGACAAATACAGGAAATATATAAATAGTTATTATTTAACTAGCTGTGCCCCGTGGTTTCGTCAACGTTAAATTTGTTTGAATATAAACATAAAATTTACATAAATCTATGGAGTTCTGTCCGATTTGTTGATATTTATGATTATTGCTCCGCTACCTTGAGTAATAGTATGATGACATATAGCCTTCCTCAATAATCGGGCTATTTAATGCAAAAATAATTTTTGAAATCGGATCAGTAGTTCTTGAGATAAGCGCGTTCAAACAAACAAACCCCGTTACTTTATAACATTAGTATAGATTGGTAATATAATCATTGTAATATTAAAAATATAAAATACAAGAGAAAATGTAAATCAGAGGAGCGTTTGTATCTTAAGACTGTTTGATCTTAAGCTTCTCATAAACTCAGACAAGGGAATGAGATAGACGAAGCGTATACAACAATAAATGAGGCCAAACGAAATTGTCAATGTCAAAAGGAAAATATGCCAGTCTAATAATAAATAATACCGGTTAATACCTTATCTCCACCGTGTTTTCAACCGACTTCAAAAAGGAGGAGGTTCTCAATTCGACTGTATGTTTTTTTAGTTTTTTTTTTTTATGTTTGTTACCTCAGAACTCCGTCATTTATTAACCGATTTGGACAATTTTTGTGTCGTTTGAAAGGGTATACTTCCAGATTGGTCCCATTTAAATTTCAAAAAAAATACCACCCCTAAGGGTGGAAAAACAACGAATGATGAATTTGACCTACTTCTAATTGTCATATTGACTTGAAACTTTGCAAGTATTTCTATTTCCGTTGATAGTACATAGTACGGTGTTGTTGACCTGATCTGATGGCAAGGCCAGAAGGTGGATGGTGAAACTCTTCAACGGCTAACAGTAGATACTTTGAGTTTGGGCTTATTTTGTTTGATTTGACAAGCCTAACACGTTAGAATCTTTACTTTTCTACTACTGTCTACACTAAAAAGGGAAAAATAAAAACTTTTTAACAAAAAAATAAAAACCGACTTCAAACAAAAGCACTAAAAAGTAATAAATAACTGATTGGTAGTTTTCATTTACTATACATACCTAATCAAATATTTTCGAAGTCGGTGTGCTTTGGCTAAGTAATTAAAGCCTACCTATTAAATACATACCTAATCCAATATTTTCGAAATCGGTGCCAGCCCATACAAAGCAAAGCACACCGACTTCGAAAATATTTGATTAGGTATGTATAGTAAATGAAAACTACCAATCAGTTATTTATTACTTTTTAGTGCTTTTGTTTGAAGTCGGTTTTTATTTTTTTGTTAAAAAGTTTTTATTTCCATTCTATACGACATTGATGAAGTAATCTGTTCCACAAATGGCACGCCTTAAAGATACATAGCAAAGAATTGAATTAAGTAATAACAATTCTGTCCTTTCTTAACCTCCCACAGTTGGGAACGGGCTTCCTTTCTACTATAATTTATAATCTTAGGGGGCTCCGGCCATAGTCCAACACGCTGCTCGAGTGACGGATGACGGAATTGACGTCATGTCTTTTGGAAGGTAGTTGAGTTCTCCCAGAGATGCAGGTTGACGATTATCTTCACCGTAAGGCAAGTAATCACAATAAGGTGAAAATAGGATGCAAGATCCTACCTGTTTCACTTGATCTCCAAGCTAACGCGCTACATCTATTTTCTAATAATTAATGCTTTCATAGATCATTCTTAGAATAAATATTTAAAAAAAAATGTCTTCTCCAGGCAGGCACGACATTGGCGAAATAAATTATGCACGTTTACTCGAATCAAAATTATTATTATTTAAAAAAATACTTCATTATTTTCCTATTGTTATAATTAGTTTGTTTATCTATTCTAATCAACAAGACACGCGGTAGCGTGTTTAGCCAAGTTCAAGCCAAAGGAACTGGCGACACAGCACCGTGTGTATATTTACACGAACCATTTGGAGTCACTTTTTACCTCGTAATAACTCAAAATCTATTTAACATAAAGTCATGAAATTTGGTTCATTTATGAAATCCCCTTAGATTAAATAGAATCCCCATTTTCATAAATACAGCTCATACAGTTTTGTTGAGATATTAACGTCTAAAAATTGGCATTTTTATCAATGACAGACAGACATATAGTAGTAAAACCTAACCCACTTCCAGATGACCTAGAAAGTTGAAATTTAGTGTCCAGGTGGGTAATCATGTGTTTTTGATGGTATTATACAGAGGAAAAATTTGTTTTTTTTTGTTTGTTTGTATCAAATAGGCTCCTAACCTCTAAACCGATTTAGATAAAATTTGTAGGAGTAGAGAGATAGTTTGAGATCCTGGAAAGGACATAGGATAGTTTTTATCCCGGAAATCATCCCTTAAATGGGTGAAAATGGAGGTGAAAGTTTGTATGGCAACCGAGGGACGACGTGAGTCGCTTGTATTATTATAAAATAGTTTATTATAATATCATTTATGATCAATAATTATCTCCGTTTGCTCCATCGGTTTTTTTACTTTTATATAGACCTAATAATGTACTTATTTACTTGCTAAGTATTGGCTCTATTTTAGCCTCGCTGAGACACTATCTGAATAAATTACACGGTTAATCAAACTTTTAGCTAGAAACTTTTTGCCTTATTTTTGCCATTTGAATTTGTTAACTCTTGAAGTGGTAACGTCGTACCTCTTTTTGACCATCGATCGTAAATTTAAAAAAAATAGCCGAATAATAAACTCATTCTCGTAAGATGAATGCTGCAGTGATTATTATGACATAAGCAGTTTTTAAAGTGTGGACGAAGTAAAGGTTAGAAACAACTTTGCTTTATGGGTGTGGATTTGGAAAAACTATGAATTCTCATGAGAAAATGAACAAAAGCCTTAAAAAATATTGTAACAAAAATAATAATAGCTTAATAGTAAATTGATACGATTGTTGCTCATATATGTACATATATTATGTAAATAATATATCAAGGTTTAGCGTATTTAACAGTTCCTAGTAAATACAGTGGTCAATGGTAATGGTATCAAAATAAAAGTTTTTATTAAAAGTCTGCATTTCCCGGAACTCTTTATATCCTTTTTGAAAAATACTTCGTACATAATTATTACATGTGCTTATTCATTATACAAAATATGTTAAATAAATTACATAAAAATGGTTAACACAATATTCTTTTTATCTGTTATTGTACCTTTAAGGCAAATAATTAATGAAATTAATTGTAAAATATAATTTAATTACCAAAAAGTCGCGTAAAATTTAGTACAGTATTTAACCAAGCTGAAGAGGTTTTGAATTGCTATGTTATATCTTCTCCATACGAACCATATGTCATGATGCTATTTTTCAAGACTAATCTATACAGATAAATAAAATTGAACTATTTGTAATGCCAAAATAACAGTTTTTGACTAATGCATATGTGAAATTATATACGGTACTTATAAGAAAAACACAATTTTTAAAAATTTTGTCGGTATGTCTGTCTGTCTGTCGGTTTGTCTGTCCGTTTGTTTCGGCTAATCTCCTTAATTTTGATGGGACTTTCACTGGAAGATAGCTGATGTTATAATTAGTAGCGTAGACAATTTTTATTTTAGAATAAGAGTTATTTTAAAAATTAAAAGGTACCTAGAAACGTACCGGAGTAAAACGAAAGTAGGTCGCTCGTCCCAAATAAATTACAAAAAAAAATTCTACCGTTAAATAGATACATTTCATACAACTCAATATTATTTTGTGTTTTTTTATTCAGCATTTCTTTGCAATGAATGATATCCATATGTACATATTTGATTACACATATTTGATGTAATTTTAATATTTATGAAGTTTATCACAAAGCCCACATTCCCGTGTCTCATGGGATTTTTTTAGAAAATGAAATTGTAATAAATCCTTTATACGTTTCGCTGGAGCTTGTAATTGCTTTCTACTAAAATGTCAGTCATACAAGAGAGTATATTATATCAAAACTAGCATTTCCCACAGCTCCGCCCGCGTTCAGATGACCAAAAACCAAATTCATAGCTTTTACATATTAATATACTCTTACATTGCAGTTTTTGTATTTTTTCTCAAAAATGAGATATTTTTCCGCGGTAAAAAGTATCCTATATATTGACCCGGATAACCAGCAATCACCATACCAAATTTCATCAAAATCCCTCTAGTGGTTTTTCTGTGATGCGGTAAAAGACAGACAGACAGGCAGACAAAAATTCTAAAAACTATAGATTCGGCCTCTGTATTGATAATAATGTTTATTTCAATAAGATTTTCCAAAAAAATATCTAATGTACAGATTCGGTTTAGTTACAATTTTATTATATACAGATAATCTAATTTTGTCTGTACGGTAATGTTTCTTTAAATATAGTTTAGATGGATATAAAAAAATTGTTTAATATGTTGGAACATTAACATACAGAACCATCTAGTTCCATGGTAGGCTACGGGGCTTGTGTTATGGACACCAGGTAGTTGATACACTACACATATTATAAAACTTTATATATCGTAGTGTGAGCCGAGCCTTATATGATACTTTATGTTACTTAGGTAAAGATATGGCTATTCAATAAACGCGCTTCTACTAGTAAAGTCGTAGTCTAATCATTACCTGGTTTTTAACCTTACAACATATTCTAAATAATTTGTTTAATATTTCGTAAAATATTTAATGAGATGACAACTATATAGTGAAGTTTTAAACTAAATATTTTATCATGACCTGTAGTGTATAGATAAAGAAACTTTAATATAGATTCAAAATTTGATAAAAAGAAAAGTTAATATTCATTAATTTTATTCAAAACAAAATTATAATTTAGTCAATATTTTATTACTATTGTTTGATGAAACCAATAAAAATGCAAAACGTATTTTTATACGTACACGTGTTTTTATTAAGTTGCTAACTGTTATCGTGGTTTGAACAGCACAAATAATTATGTTCTCGAAATTTGTTGTTCTTTTTGTTGGTATAGTTACAAGAGCTGTGGAGCTAACTACTAATTGTAGGGTTTGTAATTTGTACGCATTTTACTTTTAACTTTTGTAAAGTTGCATTTTTATATATTGAAAGTTTTAATAGAAAATAATATTATATATGAGAAAATACTCAAAGTAAAAGACAGTATATTTTGCTTCTTTAATCATTTATTAACTTCTTCGTCTTAGCTCATTCACACCGTCTTACACACTATTCTCCATCATGAATCCTTCTATTGTTCGTTCCTTTCTCTCCCATACCTTTTGTCCCTTTCACTCACTCTTACGTTCCATTTCCCACATATATATAATTCGTAAGTTTTATGTATTAGGCATTTAGTTATGTGACCTTGGCGGATATGAATGTGTTAAAAAAAATGGCGCGGATATTTATTTGTTTTCTCGCGCTTTTGCACACATGTCGGCACAACCCCGTAGAGACTAGGCACGAATTGTTTGTAACACTGCAAATTATGGTTATAAATTATGTAACTCACTGACGATTATAAAAGTACTGAATATTTAGATTATAAGTAATGAATATCTCGAAATTTCATTGGGCATCTTACACTTTGTATAGTTAGCTTAGTTTTAATTTTACATTGATATAATTGTTGCTCGCAGCTCCAACCATAAAGCAGATATGTCATTACAAAAATAAAAAAAACCCGACGTAAAGCGAAGTAAAAATATGAGAACAAGTTGGCGAAGGAACATAGTAGTATGAAGTCATAGGAATCTAGGATGAACATAGGATCGAACATAAATACATAGAGATCAAACACATACCCTTCTTTTGGGCTTCGTTGCAGTCGGGTAAAAAAAGGTCTTATGAGTCAACTTAGAATATAACTTTTATCGGTTTTAAATTATACTCAAATCTAATAAGCCGTTAGAGCATAGAAAATTAGCAAACATTCGCGTTTATATTGTTTTTGAATAAATTTCAAAACAACAATAGTTTTAAGATCACACCCCTTTTTAGAAAGGGAATATATATTTCTTATCTAAAATAAAACATTGTGTTTTAGGAAAGAAGTAATCATTTGCGTCAAGATGGTGGACTTTGTTTTGAGATACCGCCTTGGCAGCTCAAGCCTGTCGAAGTGGAGCAGCATCTCAATAGGATAAAGGGTACTCTGGGAAATTCATCTGAAAGGCGGCAAACTGAAAACTTTCGCGTATCATTACTAAACCGGTGTATATTATTTAGTTTAATATTGTTTTTATTAAGTAAGCAGTATGGTTTGCCTTCGCGTTGCCCCCTTTGATATTCCAACGTAAAAGTAGCGAAAGTAGCGAAAGTCAGACGTTTCGTAGATTGGCAGGTACAAATAAACAAAAACAATAATTTTTGGTCTATCGCTAAAAAACAATTGACATAAATGTATGGTAGCAATTTTGAAAACATAGTCAGACGTACGAATTTAGTTTATAGTAAAGTAGGTATACGTTAAGTTTTGCCTTTGTTTTCATTTAAATATAGCTCGCAACCCCCAAATATAACTACACAGTACTCATGTAAAAAAATTTGTTTAAGCTAAAAATTTGTAAACTTTTATTTAGTTAAGTTAGTATTACAATAAAAAAATATCTCTAATTTCATAGGACCGATTTTAAACGATGTACGTTTAAAAACACAAGTTAAAATTTTGAAACTCTTAGTGTCTCTTCTAAAACATGCCTTCATTTATTCTGTTTTAGTGAAGTGAATAGATACGTTGATACTGTAATATCACCATTTCTAGACACATACCATAGAAATATTCAGAATTCTTACCAACAACTAACAAACAAAATACTAAAGAGAATCAAGGATGAAATTAACGCTGCATTGAAACGGAAACAGAAAATCTATACAGAACTTTCCCAGCTAGCAGAATCTTTGAAGGTTCCAGGTAAATAACGTAGCTTTTCTATATTAATTTTTGTCAAATTATATCTGAGTGTAATTTATTATTATGAAATTAATATGAAAATTAAATATTATTACTATTAATATGAAATAGATAAACTATGTATGTATATTGTGTATACAGCAGAAATGTAAGTAAGTACCAAAAATATCATATATATCATATACATAAAACTTGAGAAATGATTGATTCCTTATACAAACTTCCACCGCCAATTTCACCATCTTAAGGGATGTCATTTACAGGATCTCAAACTATCTCCATATCATATTTCATCTAAATCGGTTTAGCGGTTTAACCGTGAAAAGGTAACAGACGGACAGACAGAGTTACTTTCGCATTTATAATATTAGTATGGATTCACATAATATGTCTCAAGTGTGACACATAGACCATGAGAATATTCAGCAACAAAAAATGTCCTCACCGAATGAGCGCTCATTTGAAAATTTGAGCGTGTCGATATGTATGCATTACTTGCATTGTAATTTTTAAAATTTCTGAAATTGTCCATTTAGCTTTGCTTTTCAAAATAATATTTAAATGCAAACTTCACAATAAAAAAAATATTTAAGAATATAAGATAAAGTAGTGTTCGTCCAGAGGTTGAAATTTTACCATAAATTATTGTTTTTTTTAATGATAACACTAAAGCTCTTCAATAGCTATTAAAAAAAAGAAATTCGGTTGACAAACAGATGAGAAAATGGTACTGAAATATTTTGTCTTTGCCTATTTATATATAGAATACTAGCGACTCACCCTCGCTCCGCACGGGTTCGTCCCGAATTACCTTTTAACGTTTAGTATAGATTTCTCAGAGATATTTTCCTGCAGTAAAAAGTATCCTATATGTTGACCCGGTTAACCAGCTATCATCATACCAAACTTCATCAAAATCAGTTCAGTGGTTTTTTTTTGTGATGCGTTCCTAGACAGACAGGCAGGCAATTGTTGTCAATTCTAAAAACTATAGATTCGGCCTCTGTATCGCTTAGTTAGAATTTTATTATATGTATAGATAAATTAAAAAGCAGTTATTCTCATAAGTTTAAATATAGATATTGTCATTTATTAACAACAGTATTTCAAAGATTATCATCACCATCGCAAAACGCCAATTTAAAGCCATCCTTTTTATCAAAATGTTTATACCAGATAAACAAACTACTTAATTATGCTGAAGCGTAATCGCTCCGCTGTGAATAATTTATAAAGTGATTGATGAGTTTCCGGTAGAAAATTCATTTTTTTTTCTTGGTATTGCTTAAATAGGCTTTAACGAAAAATATTTTATAACTAGTTAATGCCTTTTACTCCTTTTATGTTTTAATATGTATAAATACATATTTTTAGTTTACGCTCACAAAATATGGGTTATATTAATTAGCTTTGTTTATTATGAGTATGTAAGAAGAGAGAGGGAGAGTAATTCGGTAACTATGGATATATTCCTCCGATCAAAATAGAACTAAGCTATGTAATAATTTAAATAATAGCTTGCAAAAAGCTGTTATAGTTTTCAAGCAATAGATTAAATATGCAGGATGATAAAAATTAAAAAATACTGTTATATATATATATATATATATATATATATATATATATATATATATATATATATAATATAAACCTCTTGTAGTGAATATATTGAAACCAACTACAAAATAAATGTCATGGATTATAATTTTTCATTAAAAGATATTAAAGTAGGGTTTCCTGTGCGAAGATATTGATAAAAAGATATTCATAAAATATGTAATTGTTGGTGATTAAGTACGATGAACTATTGATAACGTTATTTTCTTATTTTATTACATATTATGTTCTTAATGTTGCGTTAAATACCCACTTTCACTTACAGGATGTACGAAATATCATAATTTCCTGTAATTTCCGTTATAATAATACTTTTAAAGAAATAAATTTATTTAGCAATGTGCAATGAAGAACGAAGATCAGCCAAAAATATAGCTAGCAGACATGTTTCCCTAATTTACAAATGCACGGAACAAGCACGAAATTCTATTGTGAAAATGGGTAAATATGCAGAAGAAATGATCAGTATCACTCGAAGACATATGAAAAACGCAATGATTCAAGTAGCAAAGAAGATGCCTGATCCAAACCCATATATGACCCAAAAGTAAGCAATATTAAATATTAACTTATCTATACATATAATGAAATTCCGAGTATTATTAAATGCTTTTTGGAAAATCTTATTGAAATAGTTATTATTATTGATACAGAGGCCGAATCTATAGTTTTTAGAATATTTGTCTGTCTGTCTGGGAATGGATCAAACCACTGGACAGATTTTGATGAGGTATGACGATAGTTGGTTATCCTGGTCAACATATAGGTACTAATACATAGCGTACTTCATATTGCGGGAAAATATCGAGCCCGAGAGCAGAAAGGGAGAGTCGCGAGTATTGGATATTTTTTTTTAAGTTTTGAATGAATGAAGTAAAGGAATAAGTAAATTATAGGTAAGAAAATGTCTGTCATAAAAAGAAAATGAGTGAAACAATTACTCGAGAGAACGGAATACCTTAAAATGGGATTACCTTAGAACGGAATACCTTATATTAAGGGAGTATAAATGTAAATAAATCCCTATAAATTTAATTCCATTCAATTCTGTTGTTAATGGCTCACGCAATGGAGAAGACACAAAGGAGACTGATCCTTTAAACACAAAAGTAACCTTTGAAAGTAAAGAAAATTAAGATATAGGGAAAATAAAAAAAGCAAAATGTCATATTATGTTTAGTTTTATACCATCTTTACATCTACTTAAAGTAATAGAAGATATGAATACGCAACTTACAAAGACGCAGTTTATAAAATAATAATATGATTTTATTATCTTTAGAACAAATGTGACAACTTGCCTGAAGGAGCTATCTAGAGCAGCAGTGTCTTTAGGGTACGAATTAGATCTAAGTCTTTCCAACGCTCGTCGTCACAACGAGCAGTCCTGTGAGAAACTCGTCCACTGTAGCTACAAAGCAAAAAAAAACACTGATGAAGCTGTTAATATATTACGTGAATATTTATATCAATGTGTTTATGCTTAATTAAATAAAAAGTATGTTCTATATTGTATGTCTATAACTTCTGGTCTCGGTCACTGCACTCGGTTTTCCAAGCAAGCGTGTTACACTGGGCTACCACTGCTTAAGTATGTTACTATTTATAATGATTAATGACAGTAAACAAATTTTTATCGGAATAAAAAATAGAATATAGCACTTGGCGATTATATTGCTATCAATTATTGAAATCATTTTTAAAATCGAATCAGTAGTTTCGGAGATTACCCCCTCCATAACCATACTTACAAACTTCACCTCTTAATAATATAAGGCTTTATAATTAGGTATAATTATACTCGCTTCGCTCGGGTGCGTGTATATAGCGTTGCTGCAGTTAATGTTAAAAATGTAAATATTAAAAAAACGTTAATAGGAAAATCTTTTTAAATAATAAATATGTTGAGACATTAACACACAGCACCATCTAGTTCCATGGTAAGCCACGAGGCTAGTGATATGGATACCAGATAGTTGATATACTACTTATATAACTTTTAAATATATATGTATTATAAATATAAATACCCACAACTGCAGTACAAACATTCGTGCTCATCACACTAATGAATGCCCCTCAGCGGGACTCGAACCCGCGACCGCTGTCCCAGCAAGTACGGGTACTACAAACTGAGCCAAACGTGTCGTCGTAGAAGAGGATAATTATTCTGTAATACATTTTTTTCATATAACTATATTAGTTTACGCGACGCACGCTAATAAAGCTCCAAACACCATATTTTTTTCCGACATCTTCAACAATCATCGTCATATCTCAGCCAATTTACACAAAACAATAATGAATTATACACCTAAACCTTCCTTGTGAATCTCTTCATCTATTGGTGAAAATTGTATGAAAATCTGTTCGGTAATTTTTGAATTTATCGCGGACGCGGCGGGGGACTTTATTTTATAATATGTATAGATTTTCTGTATTAGTAATTCATTCTATAAATCCTAGTACACAGATTAATATAGACCAAACCACTCTCAGGTGCGCCGCAGCAGGTTTATTACGTAGGCACTAATGTCTTACAAGTTTGACAGATGTGTGAACACCTGCGCTTCGTACTAGGTGATTAAAATTACCTTTAGATACGTTCATATTATATCGTTGATATCGATGTAAATATTTTAAAATGTTAGTTTTTCTGTTTTGTGAGGCGATTGGATCGCTATATTTGCGTCAGTATTGAATAATGGGAAAAAGTTAGGATGATAAAATTATTACAAACCGATTCAAATGGCTTGAATATTTAATAAAAAGGCCACTATTCTATGGATGTTACCTTAGTATTTTACATAAAATGTTAATTCTGTTATTTTAATAATAAATATAAACATAACAGAAAGTTAGATGTAGTAAGTTTTTACTCTGTGGATCAAAATGATAGCATTTCAGATTAATATTTTTCATTTGTAAATGTATTTAGTAATAGTGTTGCTTAATATTTTGTTTTTTGAATAATAGCAAACTAAATTAAAATTATTATTCTTAATTAATTTTAACTTTTTTAAATTACACATAGAACAATAATGTGGCTTAAATTATTAATATTTTATTTCTTTATGGTTATAAATATAATAATAGTAACACTAAATATAGATTACTAATTAATAAAGTTTTCTAAAAAATTGTAATAATAATAATAATAACACCTAAAATTAAATAAATAATATTCCATATTCAATTATAAAACTAATGAAAATATAAAAAAATAAAATAAAATTAACAATTATTGTAAGGTGCTTTCGTGCTATTTTTCAATTTTTGGAATTCATTTTGTTATTTTGTGGATAGGCTGTCTGTAACAACTATTTAATGCCCTTGAGACATTTAACACTTAAGTCTCTCCCGTGACCATGATTGTTGTAAAGCATTCGAAACATCGGGAACCAAAAATCTAAATAAATTCGCGAAAAAATCCGAAAAGATAGTTTCATTTATAGTCATTTCGTCTAACTTACTTGCTAAGTTTCGACGAAATGATATTTAGACGTACATGTGAAGTTAAATAGAATCTTGTAAATGTTAAAAAGAAGATGAACATAATATATTTGTTAGGTTGTTCTTATTTCACGCAGTAACAACGTATTAGACCTACGTGATATTTTGCAAAGATACTATTTATAGGTCGGAAAAGATGTACGAGTATAATGGTCGGAATAAGTGTAGTGCTATAGGTTACTTAAGATGGCATTAGAATGTTTTATTTGTATTGTTAGAGCGAGTTCACCTTTACGGTATACGAAAACCATCTACACAGATAAATAAAATTGAGTGTCTGTTTGTGATGTGAAAATAACATCAGTCAAAATAACTGATTGCAATCGGAAATTTGAAGCGAAGCCGTATTACTTGTTTATACCTATATATTATTTATTAAGCTTTTGAAAAAAAATGCAGACAATAAGCAAAAGACTTAAGACAGAAAGAGTTCTTCCATTCAACTCATTGACCAGACTAGACTCATGGATCCAGTCAATTAAGTGCCAGAACATCTATGAAAAAATTTATAGGTCTATATAGACTGAGCAGTATATTTTGCAGAGCTTAATTTACTATTTATTATACAAGCAGAAATATTGTTCCCCCTTATTAACGCCAAGCTCTCTCTTACGTTCATTTTGTAATTTTCGGCACGAGTGACTACGAGTTAATTGCCGGCAACGATCGCGTAATCTTTATATTTGCGTCTGGACTAATGACCTTTGAAAGCTATGATTGTCTGGATTTGCAAGTATGAAATAATAAAATTGCACGTTATTTTAATTTGTGAATATATTAGGGACTAGCGACTCACCCTCGCTCCACTCGGGTTCGTCCCTAGGTGATTCTTTAAATTGACGTAACTTTTTATTTTATTGAAATAAAACAAACACTAAATGTTAGTGAAGCTTACCACAATTTATAAGCGAAAACCGCATCCAAATCGGTTAAGCCGTTTCTGAGAGTATAGACAGCGATAAGTTACACTTTTATTATATGTATAGATGGGCCGAAATTCGTGTTACATTCGGTTTAACCGAATTTTGGCAGCTTGGGCGAACTTCGGCATTCGGCCGAAATTCAGTTTAAATGGTGAAATAAATAGAAAGCGTGTCTGTCATAACAATAACATAAAATTAAGTATTTTATATACTCATTAGTCCGATTGGAATCCCGTTTGGGAACAAAAAAAAATTAAAACATGAAGTTGTCTGGAAAACTTTGAGGTTATTGTAAAAATTGTCATATATGTATAAAAGTTGTAGATTTGTACTACACCTACAACTTTTGCACAGAACACTTCAATAAGACGTCACAGTAAATCGTATTGAAAAAAACTATTTTTCAAAGCCTTTCATTCCCCCATTTCTCAGGAGTAGCTGCGCGTCGTCGGGGGCATTTTACGGATTTTTATTCCTTATATACCTGCTATGGTTTTAAAGACGTTAAACTTCAATTTTAGTCTTTTTTTCTATTATAAGTAAACTGATCTCGATCGGTCTACATGGCAGTTTATTTTAGTTAGGAACATCTAAACCTTAACACACATGCGATAAAAAATTAAATTAGTTTTTTTTTAATTTAACAGTTTCAAAAATCTTTGCCTGATTAAATTGACAAAATGAATTAAACTTTGTATTCTTCTAACTAAACATGTTACTTACAATTCGTAAATTGTATTAATAAAATCATGTTTTGTTTAACTAAGGCATTGCAATAGGTATCTTAAATTCTAGAATGAGTATTGCTTAACAACAAAAACTTGTTAAGTCAACAGGTATTTGTTGTTTGGCTTTATCTGATCATATAAGCTAACTCTTAGAGTTAGATCAATACAGTGTGTTCTTTAATGTACATATATTTACACATAAAAAAACACTTTAAAACTAATTTAAACGACGCTAATAGGTGCAAAGCCAAGTAACGTTCACCGCGAACTCCTGACGTCTATTTTGTATTCAACAGCCGCGGAAAACTGGAAAAAGTCGTACCAACTTTCAATATAATTAGACCTAGCTGAGCCACCTTTTCAATTGGTCTACCAAGTTTTACAGGTCACGAAAAAAACTTTGAAATACAGCTTTGTAACTTGTGCAGTGTTATTTAATGTATTTACTTAGAATTATTTTGATGTGTTTTGATGTGGAACTAATTTAAATATTATATTTAAATTTTAATATATATAAAAATAAATAAAAGTTTGAATGTTATGTACGTTTCGTTATGTATATATAGTTCGAATGTTATGTATGTTACGTTTGGCTCAGTCTGTAGTGACCCTCCTCTGTGCCAGCGGTCGTGGGTTAGAGTTCGGCTGGAGGCATTTATACGTGCGATGTGCATGAATGTTTGTACTCCAGTCATGGATGTTTATATTTATAATATGTACCGGCACAAGTTAAGAATTGGGGACCCGGCCCCTGGTGGAGTGGTTGGTATTTCTGGATAGGGGACGTGATAGGGAGTCCAAATGTTTTATTAAATATTTTAAGAAAACAAAAGAGTCAAAAGTTATTGAGACTTAAAGTTACAACATTTCCATACATTTTCATATATTTCTTTACCACCATTCGGAGTGGATGGTATTTTTAGATAGGGGAGGTGACAGAGAGTCAAAATATATTAAAAATATTTGGAGGAAACGTATGAGTAAAAAGTTATTGAGACTTAAAGTTATAACATATCTAACACATTTCCATACATTTCTTTACCTAAATAAGTGATTACAACAGATAAACATACCTTTAACGAATAGTACGCATCCTTTTTTATGTACAATACATAGTTTCACAACAATTAATGCTTTATTGTATTTAATATTTTAATAATTTCACAACAACACAAACAAAATGATCTTACATTTTGACAAAAGCAAAACTGTCACTTTGTTTTACATTACCGCTTAAATGACAACAGATTATATTTGATTATTTTTGCTATTTCTGTTGGTAATATTAATAAATAAATAAATAGAAAAATATTATTTTCA